AGCCTCCACCTGGCTGCCTCTGCCAGGAGAAAAGAGTAAAGACTGCAGCAGGGAGAAAAGCCAGCTGGGGCCCTTTTAGAGTCAACCCTGCTGCTCCGATTCTAATTTTCAGTTCAGATTTTGCAGGCATGAGTGTGGGTCCCTGAGGGCCTGCCCTTTGAATTCTCTCGGTGAGGACTGAGCATTCCCCAGGGGCTTCTCACTGATCCCTGGAAACACATCCCTCAATTCACCAGCTCATCCCTTCCCAGGACATGCTGAAGCACACACCTGTGGACCACCCAGACTGCCTGCTGCTACAGGATGCCCTCCGCATCCCCCAGGACTTCTGTCTGGCATCAGTGAGGACATTGATCCCGCTGGACTGTAGTCACAATGGACTCCCAAGGGGCAGGTGAGCTCAGGTCCCAGCAAGGCCTCACACTCAGGTTGAGGAGCCCAGGGTGGACCAGATCCTCTGATGGTACAGGCATCACTCTGTGCCCCTTGTCTCTGCAACCCTGATACCCCATTCCCAGCCAAGGAGACGTTTTCAGTCCTTGATCGCCCTGATTTGATTCCCTGTGGCATTCTGGGCCCTAGGCTGAGAGCTTTAAGCCCAGTGTCTCAATAATCCTCCTAAGAATCCAGTGAGCCAGGAGAGGACACAGGCCTGGAGAATCTCTCCAGGTCTGCCACAGAGTCTTTGAGCTGTGTCAGAGCTGGATTCCTTACCTGGTTCTGGCTGTCTGGAGGTGCCAGACATTGTCCCCTGCACCAGGGAAGTCGGACTGTGAATACCTCATTCTTGAATGCAGACATCTGCCTCTGGCCAGTGTGATGCCATCAGGGTGACCTGGGTGGCTAAGGGAGCAGGACATCTCAGCCACTTTAGATCAGCCTTCATGAGTAAGAGCCAGGAAGGGAGCCCCACAGAGGGAAACGCTGGTACTAGAGGTGGCCGAGGTCATCCAGGTTGCTGGAACATTCCACATGGGCTCCTGGATGTCGAACAGCAGTTTCCCTAGGGACCCTTCTTGGTGCAAGGGTGGGGGTTAGCCCAGTGAGGGGAAGCAACACTCAGCATTAGAGGCACAATTCACCCCTGTGTGTCGGCAGCCTGGCCCAGATCAAAGGCTGCATGACTGATAGAGGTTGTTAAATGGCCCTTAGGAGTGAAGACTGCCTGGGTTCATGCTCGTTCGTTAGGTTTGTGAATGTGGGGCAGGTCTGGAGAGTGTCTGATGGTGCATAAGGAGCTGTTTCTGTGCAGTTGTTGGTTCTGGTTTGCAAAACCATGGAATGTCACTAGTTTGTTTTGGTCTGGGGATATCTGAAAAATCTCTGGAAGACTTCGAGTAGCATCGGTTGTAGGTCATCTTAACTGTACGCTTTCAATACACGCACCTACATATTGCAGTATACATAGGTCACACAGTGTGTCATGGAGACACGAAAGACTGGGACAGATGGTCACTGGCCCATGGGAGCCCCCCTGACTCTGAGGGTGGCTGAGGGGAAACTCTGGAAATCCTTACGGAGTAGAAACCATCCAGAGCCCAGGTGAGCGGCATCTGTAGACCCCAGGACACTTCAGCATCCCGGCAAAAGGCAGCCTGGGGTCTCCCATTCCCTGGGTGTATTTTTTTTTAATGTATCTATCATATATGAATTTGGGTTTGGTATTTGGCTCCCTCGTTGTGTCTGTTCTATATTTTTGTGTTAATGCCAATACCATATTGTTTGGATCACTATAGCTCTTCTATGTCATTTTTAATCAGGGAGCATAATACATCCATGTACTTTGTATTTCCCAGTGCTGAGATTGCTGGATGACATAGTAGTTGTATTTTTCATTTGAGGAGGAACTGCCGACTATTGCTCATAGCGTGTACATCAATTTACATTCCCACCAGTAGTGTCAAAGAGTTTCCCTCTCTGCAAATCTACACTGTTGATTGCCTTTTCAAAATTCTGTTTTTGTTTTTGGCAACATACATCTTATGTGGATGGGGACACTCTCTTAGTGTGGCTTTGCTTTAAATTTTTTTGATGATTAGTGATGTGGACAAGCTTTTCCTTTACCTGTTAGTTCATTTCCTGCCTTCTTTTCAGCAATGTCTATAGATTCTTTGCCCAAGTTTTGTTGGATTATTTGGTTTTTGTATTTTCTTACTCTGTATTAGTTTCCGGTATATGTCAGATGAATACCTTCAGCTATATGATTCCTTATACTCACTGCCTCGCAGCATCCTCTGCTCATTCTCTCTTCTGCTCAATGACCACTGCCTGTGACCCATTCTTCTCCCTCCGCAGGGCAGGGCCCCGACCTCCTGCCTCCCATGTTTCCTTATACTCATGGAGGCCTGGCCTAGTGTGGGGCCAGCCACATGGCACAATGTCCAGACAGGCCAGTTGTCATGGAAAATGGCATCTGGGGTCTCTGAGTTGGCTATTGAATGCAGACTCACCCCGCTCACAACCAGTCAGCACCACTGCCACCCAAGCAAAGCACCCGGGAGCCTGGAAATTGCTCTGCCCACCTGTTGCCATGGGCACAGACACATACCACAGGGAGGACTGACAACAGACCCAGGCCGTCTGCCCCTGGTGCCCAAGGATGACATTCAGGGACCTGAGGATCACCCCAGCCCACCCACCACAACCTGTGTCCATGTAGGCTCCCACAGGGCCTGAGGACAGGCTAACCCCTCCCAAAGAACCCCCACCCCACAAGTGCCCAAGTACTCCATCCAGGGACCTGGGGATAGACCTGCCCTTCCTGCCACTTCTGGTTTGTGCTTGCACCAGCAGGGGGCCTAACAACAGGCCAGACCACCTGCTGCCGGCATCCAAGCCTGCCATCTTGGAGCCTGGGATCACCCTGCTCTACCCATGAGCACCATCGGGGGCCCCAGGGCAGGTTCATCCCACCTGGCATATGTATGCATGAACTAGAAATGTGTTTGCCTGCCGGGCGCAGTGGCTCATGCCTGTAATCCCAGCACTTTGGGAGGCCAAGTCGGGTGGATCACCTGAGGTCAGGAGTTCGAGACCAGTCTGGCCAACATGGTGAAACCCCATCTCTAAAAATTAGCCAGGCTTGGTGGCACATGCCTGTAGTCCCAGCTACTCTGGAGGCTGAGGCAGGAGAATCGCTTGAACTCAGGAGGCGGAGGTTGCAGTGAGCCGAGATTGTGCCACTGCTCTCCAGCCTGAGAGATAGAGTGAGACTCCATCTCCAAAAAAAAAAAAAAAGCGAAAGAAAAACAAATGTGTTTGGGGCTGTGATACTTTCAACAACTCAGAGACATGGGGAAGACGACACAAAAAAGTCCATGGCAGATCCACCTGACAGATGTGATGGCAGTTCTGCTATAAAATCAGTCTTGGTTTGACATTAAGGTTTGTCACAGCTCTTGAAAATTTGGCAGTGAGGTTGAAGGTCTCTCAGAAATTTCGTGTACCCTTGTATTAGGTATGCATGAATAAAGTTAGAAAATTTTTTTTATCTTTCTCTAGAAATAAATATGAACTTGGGTTAACTTTCTGAGTCAGTTCCCTTGGAAACCTGGAAAAGGCGGAATGTCATCTGTGTTGGGTTACCAGACTACATATAAAAATGGCCCATAGTTGGTCATCATCATCTGAATTGGGAGAGCTATGAATGAATTGTAAACAATGGGGGCATCTAGAGTTAGAGAAGAGTAATTGCGATTTTTGAAGTCTGCCATCAACTGAACTTTGCTATTGTTAGAAATGTTTTGAAGTCTATGGTCAACTTTTTGGTGGTTTACTTTGGAGAAAAAATCAAGAGGTAAACCATACTTTGGGTTTCCCTGAGTGCAGTGGTGTTTGTAACTAGGCATGTCCATTGCTGGGACTCTTGAAAACTTTGACCGTGGGACTGTTAAAAGAAATCTCAGTTTCTTTTTGGGACACAGGCTTCTAAGCCGGGTAGCCCTGTGCCCACCCATGTGACCTTGTTCCTTTGCACCTCAGGTGTCACTTGGGGAGCAGAATCCAGAGAATAGCCCCTGGACTGAAGTGTGGACAGCTGTGAGGACTCCTGCTAAAGACACAGACATGATACCAGTCTGCTGGCACACAGTGTTTCGTGTCTTGTATCCTTCTACATGATACCAATGGCCCTATTGGCTTCATAGGGACTATTTTAGTCATGTCAAGATCGTGCCACACACTCCAGCCTGGGTGATAGAGCAAGACTCCCTCTCAAAAAAAAAAAAAAAAAAAAAAAACACACAAAAAAGGCCGGGCATGGTGGTTCACACCTGTGATCCTAGCACTTTGGGAGGCCAAGGCAGGCAGATCACTTGAGGCCAGGAGTTCGAGACCAGCCTGAACAACATGGCAAAACCTTGTCCCTACTAAACATACAAAAAAATTAGTTGGGCATGGTGGCGAAAACCTGTAGTTTCAGGAGACTGAGGCACAAGAATCACTGGAACCTGGGAGGCGGAGGTTGCAGTGAGCTGAGACAGGGCCATTGCACTCCAGCCTGGGCAACAGAGTGAGACTCTGTCTCAAAAAAAAAAAAAAAAAAATTATATATATATATATTTAACATACTTTTCCACTTAAGGTCACTGTTGTGCTGTATAAGGTAGTATCCACAGGTTTTGGGAATTAGGATGTGGGTGAATCCTTCTGCGGGGGGGGGCAACATTCAATCCATTACATAGGGTGACCGCAACCTGTGCCCTGAACCCTCTCCAGGGTTCAGCTTCTCAGCAGAGTCTGTGGCCAGGCCTGAGGGGAGGGTGAACATGTACCACCACCTTGTGGAGAAGCTCAAGTTTGCCAGGGGGCAGAGGTGGAGGCTGGGGGACCCTCGCAGCCACCCGAAGCTCCAGGTGAGGTTGCTGAGGTTGCTGGGATTGGGGGCTGTCCTCCTCCCTGGCTTGAGACTTAGCATGAAAGGAGGGTCAGGCCCGGCAGGGTGAGGTTGGAGGGAGATGTATGTGGTTCTAGGCCAGGGCAGGACTGAAAGGGGTCCCGGGGTGGCAGGTACAGGGGTCAGATGCAGGAGTGGCACCATATCTCAAAGGACCTGGAGAGTGGGCAGAGTCTAGACCTAGCCTGGGCTTGAGGGAGGCCTGGCCACAAGGTAGAGGACAGGCTGGAGGTGGCCCCCATGGGGGCTGAGCTTGTCCTGCCCTTGGTTCTGCACATCCCGCCTTGCCCCTCACTGACCCTGCCACTTGCCCACCCACCCCAGAATGCCTCCCAGGACCTGCTGGGGGAGACCCTGGCCCAGCTCATCCGCCAACAGATCGATGGCCGGGGGGACAACCAGCTCAGCCACTACAGCTTGGCCGAGGCCTGGGGCCATGGGACAGGCATGTCCCATGTCTGTGCTGGGGGAGGATGGCAGCGCCGAGGCTGCCACCAGCACCATCAACACACCGTGCATGGGGCCTGGGGGAAGGCTGGTGGCCTCACTCCTCCTCTCCTAGACCTGCACTCCCCCAGCCCCATGTCCCCTCACTTGTCCCCATGGGGCAGGACCTTGCTTTTGGCCTTTGTCTCCTCCTCTGTTTCAAAAGAGGCCCCCACCCCTGACATCTCTGGCTGGAAAGGCTGCTGCTGGGGTGGCCCCGAGCCAAGACTTACCTGGGAATGGGCGGCCTCACTCAGAAGGGTGCCCTGATATGGGGGCACAGGTGGGTCTTTGGGGACCCCTCCTGGGTGATGCCAGGGAGAGAACAGTGGCTCCAGCATGCTTCGGGGCAGCTGTAAAGTGAGGGGGTCCTGCAAGGTGGGCAGGGCAGGCGGTGTCTGGTGGGAGCCCAGGCTCTGCCTCCACGGCTGCAGCTTTGGAGCGATGGTGTATTCACCATGGACAGGCATCATCCTCAACAACGAGCTCCTGGACTTATGCGAGCGATGCCCCCGGGGTTCCGGCACCACCCCCTCACCTGGTGAGAACAAGGCTTCCCACCTGGGGTCCACAAGGGCCCCCCACCAGGGGAGAGGCGGGAGGGGGCTGGGCTGGGGCTGCATGCTGACCCCTGGATGGGTCACTGCAATCGCTAAGCCGCTGTTTGCTCAGCAGTGAACGGAGACAGGGTGGATGGAGCTCCCGGAAGGTGCTGGCCCCCAGTTCCAGGCAAGCGGTTCCCGTCCTCCATGGTGCCCTCCATCTTGATCAACAAAGCCCAAAGGTCGAAGCTAGTGATTGGCGGGGCTGGCGGGGAGCTCATCATCTCTGCCGTGGCCCAGGTGAGTCTGGGGGGCTCTGGGCTCAAGTGTCTTCTCTGGGCAGCATACTGTCTGACTCTCCCTGGAGTGGAGATGTGAGGGCTGATGTAGGGTAGAGGGTACCCCCTTTCTCCCTGCATCCCTCATCTCTCCCCCAGGCCATCATGAACAAGCTATGGCTTGGCTTTGACCTGAGAGCTGCCATTGCAGCCCCCATCCTGCATGTCAACAGTAAGGGCCATGTGGAGTACAAGCCCAGCTTCAGCCAGGTGAGGCTGAGGTCCGACCTGGATGCTTAGGGCAGAGCCCACTCCCCAAGTCCATGCTGCTCAAAGCCACCTGAGAGGAACTCAGTCACTGAGATTCTTAGGCCAGGTACACTTCAGCTTTGGGGACCATAGGAGTTGGGGACCTTGTGAGGCCACTGTGGCCTCCAGGCCAGTTCCGTGGCCTCCAAGACAGAGAGCAGGGTGTTGTCTACACTGCTCCCAGGCTGAGAATCTCAGCACCTTGGTCTCTGGTCTGTGGTTGATGCCATTTTTCAGAAGTGAGTTTTAGTTTCCTGGCTGGGGCCTCTCAGACTCTCCCTCATGGTGACTTTTTCCTTGTGTAATTTTTAATTTATATTTGTGACTTTATTTGTAAAAGAGGTTGTTTTTCCTGTGGCAGTCTGTAAAGTGATTTTCTTCTGGGGCATTAGGGCATTGGTGATAATTTTTACTATATGTACAATTTTTTTTTTTTTTTTTTTTTGAGGCAGCATCTCGCTCTGTTGCCCAGGTTGGAGTGTACTGTTACAATCACAGCTCACTCCAGCCTTGACTTCCTGGGCTCAAGCCATCCTCCCACCTCAGGCTTCCAAGTAGCTGGGAGTACAGGTGTGCATCGCCACGCCCAGCTGGTTTTTTGCTTTTTTTGTAAAGATGGGGTTTCACCATGTTGCCCAGGCTGGTCTCAAACTCCTGGCTTCAAACAATCCTCCTGCTTCGGCCTCCTAAAATGCTGGGATTACAGGTGTGAGTCACTGCGCCTGGCCCTCATCCATGTTTTGAATGAAGTGATTCTTTGTTGTGAGGGCCGTCCCCACACTGTAGGATGTTGAGCAGCATCCCGTGCCTCAGCCTGTGTGATGCGGTAGCACTCCCCACCACACACACCCACTCATGACAACCAAAACTGTCTCAAGACAGTGCCACATCCCCCTGGTTGAGAATGGCCGCTCTAAACCAACAGGCCCCTAACTTCCATAAACAGCTTTGCCAGCTGCAGGGCGGGTACATGGCGCTCTCTGGGGATCTCGCTAGAGGGATCTAGGACTCCTGCCCCTCACTGGTTCCTGGGAACATCGGCTGTTCCTACATCACCCCAAATGTGCCACAGAGGTTGTTTTAGTCTGCCTGGGCTGCCATAACAAAAATACTGGAAAGTGGGTGGCTTATAGCATTTTACAGAAATTTATTGCTCACAGCGCTGGAGGCTGGGAAGTCCAAGATCAAGGTGCTGGCAGATTTGATGTCCTGTGAGGGCCCACGTCCTCATATATGGCCTTCTTTTTTTTTTTTTTTTTTTTGAGACGGAGTCTTGCTCTGTGCCCCAGGCTGGAGTGCAGTAGCGCGATCTCGGCTCACTGCAAGCTCCGCCTCCCGGGTTCACGCCATTCTCCTGCCTCAGCCTCCCGAGTAGCTGGGACTACAGGCGCCTGCCACCTCGCCCGGCTAATTTTCTTGTATTTTTAGTAGAGACGGGGTTTCACCGTGTTAGCCAGGATGGTCTCGATCTCCTGACCTCGTGATCCGCCTGTCTCGGCCTCCCAAAGTGCTGGGATTACAGGCTTGAGCCACCGCGCCCGGCCTATATGGCGCCTTCTAACTGACATAGTGGAAGAAGCTAGCTAGCTCTCTGGGGTCCCTTTTATTTAATTACTTTAGAGACAGGGTCTCACTCTGTCACCAAGGCTGGAGTGCAGTGGCGTGATCATAGAGCTCTCTGCTGTACCCAAGAGATCTTCCTGCCTCAGCCTCCTCAGTAGCTGGTTCTGTAGGTGCAGCCCACTATGCCCGGCTTCTGGGGTCTCTTTTATAGGGCGCTAATCCCATTCATGAGGGCTCTACCCTCATGACCTAACCACATCCCAAAGGCCCCACCTGCTGATACTATCACATTGGTGATTAGCTTTCAACATGTGAATTTTGGGGGCATAGTGGGCCCACCTGGATGGTCCAGGATAATCTCCCCATCTCAAAATCCTTAATTGAATCATATCTTCAAAGTCACTCTTGCCACATAAGGTCTAATCTTGGGTTGTAGGGATTGGGACATGGACATATTTGGAGGTCGTATGTGGGAGAGGGGCTGGATGGGGCTAATTCCTAATGTGGGCTTGACTGCGTGGCTGGAAGGGGGGTCTGGCAGACTAGGAGGAGGTCAGGGAGCAAAAGCTGGCTCACTTTGGAGATAGGGGGCCAAGCCGGCCCACCCACTCGGGCAGACCTGCCGCCATCACTGATCTCTCTGTGGGCCGTGCCCAGAACTCAGGCGCTCTGTGTGGTAGCCTCCCCCTAGTTGGCTCCCCAGCGCCATGGTCCCAATGCTTCAGCTGAACTCACGCCCTGCAGGGTGACAGAGCTTCTCCCCTTGCAGTTTAACCAAGTCCAGATCCAGCTCTCAATGGGGGCCCCTCTGAGCAGTCCTTCATGGGCAGGGGAGGGCTATGGAGAAGTGGCTGGCTCAGGTCTGTGGGGCCACCTTGACACCTGTTGGTAGCAGCCACCTGTCCCAAACCCTGTGGGCCAAACAGGAAAAGGGAACCAAAGGAAGAAAAGGCTGCTAGACACAAACCTCAGGTGCCCCATCGGTGGGAACCTGGCTCTGTGCTCCCAGACCACACCTACATCTGGGCCGGGGTGCTGGGAGGTTGCCTGGAGCTTGCTTGGGAAGGCCTGGCCAGTCTTTCCTATCAGTGCCTCCCAGCGGCACCCACAGAGCATGATAACTTTGTCCCTGCATGTCAGGGAGAGGAAAAGGGGCTC